GTTATAGCTCATCTCAACTTTTGCACATTTTGAGAAACTCCTTGCGCATTAAACACTTGAATTTGAATTTAATTTATAAAATGATACTTCCTCGTGAATTCAATCCTTGTGTTCAAGAAAAAAAAAAACTGTATCAATATTGCACAAAACATCGAGAATACCTGTAGAATTAATAAATATTCTGAGTATATTGTATAAGAAGATCCATATTCAATTCCTTAATGCCGTCAATTCGATTTAGAAACGCGGGAGGGGAAACATAACAAGGTGGAATATAATACGGTTAGTTGCTCGTTTTGGGAATTGAATGATACCCAAGGAAGCCTTTTTAACTTGACCAGTTAACAAAAGTTTACTGTTTCAATCTTCTAAAATGGGATTATTTTAAGCTAAAGTATTGAACTTTATTGCAGAAGACACAAGACAAGCTCCCTCTTTCCCCTACCCCAAAACTAACACCTCCCTCCCCTCCACGGCTCCATCTCTTTATCCCTTTCTAGTCTCACCCCAAAGCACCCAAGTTTACACCTAACAAGTTTTCATTGTGAGGTAACCTTGCAAATTAGAGCGCACAGTAACAAAGGAGACAACCAGCTTCAATCAAAAAAGTTCCTATGCGTTTTCATTGATTGTTAAATAAAACCAGCTCAGCCAACATGTTAAACAGTCAAATTAATAACAAAATGTAAATAACGTCAAATGTGAACCTAATTGAAAGTTTCTCACCAAAAAAAAGTGGCTCATTGCTCATTGCTCATTGCTAGTTAATTTCTGGATTTCTTTCTTGATGACTTGGATGAAGACTTGGATGGTGGCTTGGATGATTCTGCAGTCTGTGAAGCTCCCTTAGAACTGGGGGCTTGGCTTGACTTAGAATTAGATGCACTGGAATTGGCTGCTGTGGCACCAACTTCACTCTTTTCTCTAACTACTGCACCCTGGGAGCCCCTCACCTGAGCTGCCCTCTTGTCCTTTCTCTTGGGCCTGTAACTTGACCTCTCTCTCTTAGGGAGCCACCTTTCTGGATCTGGTGGAGGACCTGGGTTTGCGGGGTCAAATCCTTTGGGATATCTTGGTTTTCTCTTTCTCTTTTTCTTTGGTTTTTCCTTGATCTTACCTTCTTCTTGGGCTTCCATAAGCCCAACATGAGGAGTACCATCAACTTGCTTTGGCCCGGCAGTCTTCTCTAGACTATCCACATCAACCTCCTTCAATCCTGGTAATGGCTTGAGCTGCTTCTCATAAGCTTCTGCTTTGTCAACACTCACATGAGCTACCGTACGTACCAGCCCAACCAAGGCCTCTATGCCACCTTGACTTTTCACAAGATCCTCATATAGACAGGCAGCATCCTCCTCTTTTCCATGCCTGAGCTTAAAGGAAGCAGCCTCTTGCATTATAACACTGAGCTTATTGTCCTCAGTCATAGCATTTGACCACCATTTGATTGCAGAGTCCAACACAGCACTAGCACCATTTATGTCTCCAGTGCGCTCTTTGAGAGCAACAAGGGTAGCAACAGTGGCAGGCATGTGTTGGATGTCAGGTATCTTAGAAAGGGATTCAGCAGCAATTTGTAAATGACCAGCAGCAGTGGCAACCTGTGCCCTAGACAAGAGAGCAATCTTTGATTTCTCAGGGAATTTCTCAGCAAACTGCCCCAACAACTCTTCTGCTTTCCCAGCTTTGTTCTCTCTGACCAAGACTGCAGCTTGAAGCAATACTGGCACCACACTATCTGGAAAAAGCTCTGGCAGTGTGGCAACAAGTTCTCGAGCCTGCAATTTCCCCAAAAAATGCAGATCATAAAAATGCCAAACAACTCAAAGTCTCAGGCTCTATAATTATTTTCCCCCTCTAATTAAATAATAGAATTTGAATGTCACTCAGGAGTGCAAGATCCAAGTATTAAATACCTGATCCATCTTATTTGCATGGAGAAGTAAAAGGACACGATTTGCATATATTGTCTCCCTTTGTTTTGGTGAAAGCTTTACATCAAGTGCATGAGAAAGCTGAAAGTTCTGTGTGTCTTTCTCCTTCAGCCGATCTAGTTTCCTCAGGCTATCAGAAACATCTTTTGGACCTTTCACCACAATGAGGTTGTTCACTGCCACTGCAAGTGATGATTCATCAGCCAGATTTCGGTTTATAATTTCTGTATAAGATCCCACTGACTCTTGTGTTTGACCAAGGAGCTGGTAAAGTAAGCTAATTCACATTAATGGCCATTTGGTAACTCACTTCAATAATAGTAGAGAAGAAAACGGATTTAAAAGGCTTGCAGAATGATGTTGCATACCTGCTGTACATAGGCTAACTGAACAGCAATAGGAGCAAGTTCAATCCCTATTTCTTCCTCAGCAAGGTTATCATCAGTAAGAGTTTCCTGACCAATCCTGTGAAAAAAATCAAGCAAGAAAATAGTGGCAAATAAGAATTCATTTCGTCAAAATGTATACTCCAAGTTCCTTTGGTCATATTTTAACAGACTGGTAACTCAGCCAAGATTAGCAAGCAAGTCATCATAAACCAAATGAAGCAGTTCACATACGAAGATAAGTTGTATAAAACACTTCCTAATTTCATAGCATAGAATTTCATATCATCAAAGCAAGGTCTTCAAATGCGTTTTTGATGGCAAAGAAACATAATTGATTTTCTCCTCATCAACTTCGACTCCCAAATGCAAATATGTGAGGACCAAAAAGGAGATGCGAATAGAATAGTACCTTCGAGCTGCTAGCAAGAGTTGTTCTGCATCTGTGTATTTATTGACTTCTATCAAAGAACAAGCAACATTGTATGCCAACTCAAAGCTGCTAGTTGGTTTAACCCTAAGTGATTCCAAAGTTCCTTTCACTTCAGAAGCTCTTCCAGCAGAAATCAAGCTAGCAACAAGATTTATTTCGATGGATTCAATCCTAGACTGTTGAAGCTTCCGATACACATCCACACAGGCATCCATTTTTCCTAGACGATACAGAATTTGAGATTCTAGTAACATAGCAGCAGAATTTCTCTCTTGTTTTTTCAAGGACTCCAACGCCTCATCCAACTTGTTTTGCCTGTACAGGCAGTATGCCTGTTCATCAATTACCAAATTTGGACAATTCAAGTAAGAAATCAAATTGATTCACAACAATCAACAGAAAAAAAAAAAA